GTCTGACATCTAAATTACAGAACAACCCAGAGTCTCTGCAAGCAAGTAAACGCACAGAAAGACACTCACAATACTCGCACAGACCAATGTTACAACAGCTTAAAAACAATGATAAAGTGGTTTAAATGTATGAAAAACATAAAGAGGCATCACAGTGACAGACTCCAGACAAGCGCTTGAGACACGTTATTGTGTGTGTGAGAAAAATACGTAACATCTGTGAAACACACAAAGCCTGTGACACATCACACCGTTTCCTACATGAATTCACACTTCGGCCTCAACTTTCCACTCAGCGGACAGGAACTGAGGCTTGCGTCAGACCTTGGCTGATAAACTACCGTCTCCTAGGAAACCTCCTGTTGGGGAGTAAACAATGACTTCATCATTGGCACTATTAAAAAAAAAAAAAAAAAAAAAAAAAAAAGGCCCACAAGCCTTTGCGGGCGTGGTGGGAAAGGAATGTGCAGGCTTCCAGAAACTATATGGCTACCTGTAATTGGGATTTCCCCGATTTTAAAATTGAAATAACAGAGCTGGGGGAGTAACTTTGAAAGCTTAAGTTCTACATTCAGCTTTGATGGTGACACTCACCCGAGGTTCTGATGCAAGATTCATCTTGTACGGATGTGTCTTCCCTTCCTCGGATGAAAGCGGTGACCACAGTTTCGTTTCTGACCTGAGGAACAGAGGAAGAAGAAAAAGGCTTGAAAGATGCTATAATCACATAGTAATTATACACATAGCGAGTTTAAATACAACATGTCTGGATTTTTTTTTCCTGTTCCTGGGTTTCTGTTTTCCTGTGTAGCTGCACATGAACATGATAATATGCCTGTATCTTTGAATGCAACAGAGCTCTTCTTCTGCTTGGCCTCCTCGGCGGTTTGCCCCACCTCACAGTCAACTGACTTTCTCTTAATTTGAACAGACACATTTGCTTCAACCTGCCTGTTGAATCCGTTTCAACATCCCTGCAGCTTGAAATCATCTGCTGCCAGAAGGTTATGATGTAATGCACTAACATGACACAGAATTACAACAACGCTTAGCATACATACACTCTGCAAACTAAAGATTTCAGTAAAACCAAAGACAGACTCGCCCTTTAAAAAGGCATGAATAAACATAACATTACTTCCTGAACACCTGGATTGTGGCTGAGCTGTCTCATATTACTGTGTTTTTTAGGCCTGAGGCTATGCACATCAGACTGGCACATGTTGCCACCTCCTACCTGTCTATGGAGAGTACCATCTCATCTATGCAGCCCTTGATCTTGTTCTGCGCCTCCAAGTGAGTCATGTGCTCTGTCGGCTCTCCGTCGATGGCCAAGATCATGTCTCCGATACACAGGTTGGCCTGGGCTGCTTTACTCCCAGGGGTGACCTACAATACAGGAGACTTAATTCATAAAAAGCAACACTCTTTGGGGCTGTATGTGAGCTTGACATAAGGTTTAGTCTTTTTGAAAGTGAAATTCTCAGGAGTCATTATACATGTGCTTTCACACCCTTTTAAAATATTTTTGAGAAATGAAGAAAAAACACACAAGCATTTAATAACTTACAAAGATAACCTTTTACAGATGTGAAACATAAATTTAATTTAAAGTCAAATACATGCTCGTCCTCCCATTCCCACACTTACTTTCTACAAGCCTTACATCCAGTCAGAACCTACTGCCACTCCTCCATTTAACTCTGACCCCAAAGGACCCTCACACACATTTCTTTAATTACAGTAAACACTTGCAGCGAGGTGTTTTGAGTCAGTGGCTCAGGCTGAGCACTGCCTCCAGGGGAGCCTCTCTATTGAAGATAAAGGCTCCAGGCTGGAAGCAGGGGACGACTATGGCACAGTCCAGGAATTCCTAATCACTTTTCCATGGGTGGAGTGGACTGACCACAGTAACAACATTTACAACAGGAGCAGCAGACTCCACTTAGTACACAGTGGAGTCATATTGTGGTTTATTATTATTGCCACAGGAGTGTCACACTATAAAACCTGTATGATGCTGTCTTATAAAGCTTTGTATTGATGTGTACAACTATGTTGTGGTAAAGTAACTTAGAGGAAATAGGATGTATTAACACTGAGGGATGTCAAAATAAAGGACAGTTCAAATTTTATCCTCCAAATTATACTTTTAATTTGAAGTTAGGAATTAAAGAGATAAGATATGAGAGCTCAGCTTCATATGAGAGTCTGGTGTAAATTCGACAGTTGATCTCACTTTGTCTAACACGAAAAGTTATGCTGAAAGCTATGGTTAAAGAAAATCATAAAAATGATCTTGTATAATGTTATGGGGCTCCACAAACCACCACATTTGTATCTGGAGGTCTCGAAGTAAAACACTAGGCAGGTAAAGAGGATAGCGACACTGTAACGGTAGCTAACATTAGCTAAAATAAAAGTGATACTAGTCTCGCTTCTGTGAAGTAACGGCCGCCTGTTTTAAACATAAGCTAACGTTAACTCTGCTCCTGTTTGTCTGTTGTCAGTAAAGTCGACAGAAGACAACGAGAGGTGAAAGTTTCGTCGGGACAAGCCCAGGTGCGGTTACACCACTTGATAACAATGCAGCAGCGAACAGTAAAACTAACTTACCCGGGAAATAGCCAGGGGCTGCTCGAAGTCCTTTCCCCCAACCAGCCTGAATCCCCAGGGTCCAGGACCCTGCATTACCACCCGGACAGGCATTGTGTTAATGTTGCTTTGTTTTTTTAAACAGAGCCGACTGTAGTTAGCTTGTGTTTAAAGATCTGTGTCAGACCACAAGTCAACCTCCTGCTGCATACGACATGTGCAAAGATCGATAGTCTGTAGTTGGAGCCAGGCTACAGCATTAGAGGAGTGGGCGGCCCCTCAGGTTACAGTTGGACGAATAGATTTTGAAGTTTCCTCGCTGATAAGTGAGAGACCAAAGATCGCGTATTAAGAAGATGGATCACTCAGCAATGTGTGTGCGGAAGTGGGCCAAGCGACCAGTAACAACAGTAAGAACTGAAGCAACTGTAGGTCACATGACATCAATTCATTCACTCATTTTCACAGATTCAAAAAAAATAAAACAATGCTGTTAAAAGCTAAGACTAGCAATGTGCCTTATTTTTCTCTTTGTCAATTAATTAATTAATTAACAAAAAACATCAAGACTGAATTGATCCTATTACTGTCTAAGTAGCCAAAATCTAATATATCTTATTCGTCAGAGCTCCTGTCATGTCCAAAAACTATTAAAAACACATCAGTGAGCCACACCATTGCACTGATTGCAAACCATTGCAGTGACATGTTACCTCAATAGGATGAACATGGGCCCTGTAGTTTATAACTTATAATAAACTGCTGTAGAGCAGTATCTGAATAGTCCCCAACAAATGCATTATTTACTCCTGTTTGAGTGATGTATGATAAAAATTACAGTGACCTGCTCTTTTAGGAAATTGATTATTTAAAATGTGAAACTAGACATTTATCCCCTGTTTAAGCAGATGTACGTATTGAGCAGAAAGAAAGGGTTGAGTCTGGATGCCACAGACAGGGAAGAATAGTTAAAAAGTATTAAGAGACAGGTTATGGAAATATCTGTTTTGGTCTTTATGGGATTTATTGACTCAAGAAAAAACATAGAGTAATGTCAGCCTTGGCCTTTAAACACAAAAAAATGGAAACTATTACTTCCAACTTCTGTGTTTTATTGTGTCCTGATAGAAAATGACAGAACTGGAGCAAACATAATTCTTGCCTTTACTTTATCGACCATTCTTTTCGTAGCAGGACACCTGTGTGTCATTGCTTATTTAAAAATCCATGTATAGTGTCATCTTCCCCTAAGCACTTGTTTTTCTAACTATATACATGGTAAAAACAGGCATGTAATGACAAAGTATTTATAATTCAATTTTGTAAAATCTCTGGTTGCCAATAAAAAGCAAAAAATAAAAAATAAAAAATAAAAAATCCATCTATATTCAGAGTAGGATGGCACATCAACTCCAAATTCAAATCTTTGTTTGACTGTTGTTGACAGTACTTTGAAACTGCTGTATGATGATCCAGTCTGGGTCATAATTTTGGCTGATTAGGCTGTTTGTTATATAAATAAGATCAAAACCAAGCTGCAGAAAGACACGACTCAGGTCAACTGAAAGTGAAAAATCTGTGCCTACTTTCTTTTTGTGTCAACCACTAATGGATTTCCATTATTCAGATCCTGGAAATTGTAGTCCATGGGGTCAAATGTCTAGTCTAATGTCTAATGTCTAAAGTTTAGATGGTTCCACATAGATGCATTTCCCTAATAAACTTAACAATGGGTGGGCAAATCTCTTTTATCAAAACATAATTCAACTTTGTCTGGGGTCAAAAGTTTTTCTCATGAATAATACTTATCAGCTGATGGCCCTTAACTTTCGATGTCATGAAAATAGCAGGGCAGAGTGATCCCTCTTCATTTTTTTGCACCTCTCAGATGAGCTCCAGTGTTTGTTTTAGGGATGTCTGCCTACCGGTACGTCACCGTGTTATATGCGAGCTTACCATTTATGGTAGAGCTAAATCCCAGGATGTGGAATGTGCCGCTCCCAAACCTTGAATTCCTGCCAGAGGAGCTCAGCTGAAAGTAGAGAGAAAAACCCCAGACAGACTGAATGAAACACGTCCTTTCTTGTGGGGGTTACATGCATCTACAGCAGGCCTTCAGGCATACCAGTGAAGTCCTTCAAACTGCTTGTTTTAAAGTGAAGCTCTTATTATATAACATCTTTTTAAATGAAAAGTAAATCTGCTCCTGACTGTCAAGGCTGTAAAAACATATCTATCAACATCATCACCTTAATGGGATTTTACCCGTCTGACATACATATGCTGCTCCACACAGCTGCCAAAATAAAAGCCTACCAGGTAACCTGACTGAAGTTTTCTTCTAACATTCATTACAAGCTTATCTCTACACCAGATCTTAAGGAATAAAACAGAAAAAAACAACAAATGGTTTAAATGGTTTATTAAATATTGCATAATACCGAAGTCACAGCAGTGTATAGTATCTTTATTTTTAATATTGTCAATGTAACAGCACTGCAAATTGAAGCAAACAAACCAAACCTGTTGTGGGTTGTGCGTCCCATTAAACTAGTCCATTCTCATGATTATTAATCATTAAGATGAAGCATCGTGTCACACTTTTAGGTACTTGCACAGTAACTGACAAGTTCTTAGTAAATATTTCTCCCGTCACAGAGACTGGGACTAATGGGAAAACCATGGTTACATTAAATATGTCATGGATACATTTCAGTGATACTCCAAAAAAAAAAAATTTAATGAAAATGAGGCACAATTTAATTTTGCGTCTAACATAAGGCATTATGATCCTCACAAATGGCAGCGTAATGTTCATATACATCAAACTTCCTGTGCTCAGTAACGCTCCACTCTGTGCTTTGCCAAAAAAATCCTTCAGGTAAATAAACTGCTGCAAGTAACTGAGAGCTCAGTCTGATGCTCCCATCGCTTGCAGTCTATTGTTTTTATTATTTTACATATTTACACTCCTTCTTGTGCTGCGCTGCTCGTTAGTCTGCGTGTTCATTCACGATGAAAAGACATTCAGACATTTTTTTTTTTTTTTTTTTTACAAATCATGTGTACACAGCCTGCGCCACATTCATATATTCATACATTCATACATCCTGTGATGTTTCATGGAGCACAATATCACAGAAACCATCTATAGTGAGTTGTGTTGTGACTAAATCAGTGACTGTTTATTTGTCCGCCGTTCAGTCTAGTGTTTTTCAGACACTGCTGTTGTTCTGTCAGGGATTTTTGAACAAGCTTACAGGTCGACAGACTCCCAGCCAATCAGCACATTCATGAGGAGCTGGAGTTACACAGGAACAAAAAATGTTTAGCCAGCGGTGGAGGGAAAAAAAATGCTTTTGTGGTGTAACAAAATACCTGAACATTATATCAGTGCTATACAAGCAAACACACAATGCAGTGTATTATATTATGTGTTTTATCTTGCTGAGACAATACTCTGTCGCCGATGATGGCAGAATTGTCAGTGGTGATGTGCACAGGAACAAACACCTGATTCTGATGTTTGCTGATGCTGAACAGCAAACGTCAGAGAGGATGAAACACTGATTGCTACTGAATGTTGTTAAATTAATGCACTTCATCTATTATTAAACTTCAAATATCACTTGTATGTGTGTTGGCCACATACACAACATTCAAACCATGTTCCAACCAGGTCATCGTTTATCATCACTGCACAACTGTTGCACATTCAGATGCAAAAAAAAAAATACAAAGATATAGTAAACATACGCTTTGAGATCTAGTGAGTGAGTGTTACTGTTTTATCTCTCTTTATACCTCTATACTTCACATTATGTTTCAGATTGTGTGTACTCAGGCGATTATAAAGAGCCAGGATAGTCTGGCACCATTTGATTGGAAATGTGTGGATCTGGCTTCAGCTACTCAGAGCCTCAGATAGCTCAGCCCCTCCTGGTATCAACTAGACTGACTTTAAAATACTTCAGTAGCACATTGCCCTACAAACAACACCCATCTGCTGCTCCGAGCAGGTCATAACAAGCAGTAAGAATTATTTGCAAGTACTATCTGACAGCATTGCTAAGGATTGATGAGCACAAATTGCAGCGGTTGATGACATCAAGGAATTTGATGAGAACGCAAACAAAAGAAAAACAATAGCTTTCATCTGTGCATGTGGAGGAGATACTCTGACAGTGTGTGTTGCTGGAGATGTGGGAGCTCTGTGCTCCGCGGGACGATGGCTCTGATGCTTTGATAGCAGAATTCAAACCATCAGGGAGCGATTGAAGCTCAAGGAGCAGACTGTTAACCCTGTCATCACTTCTGTTTTCTTTAAGCTAAATGCAAATATAAAGGCGTTCGCTGATAGTATTTCATGCTCCGATTTGATTTGTCAATCTCTTATTGATGTTACCGTGCATGCTGTCCTAATGCCGACCTATATATGCTATTATGTGAATCATTCCACCAACTGTGTTACCCAAGTTGTACTCATTACATATGAAAATATGTAGCCGTGTCTGGAAGGCCTCTTTAAGTTTTCTGTACACATTTACATGACTAAAACATACAATCTTGCCAGTAAGGGCATGGTTAAAATCTCAATATGCCTTTAAAAATCAGTACGATTATTCTCTAAGAAAACCTTGTTGGCTTTCATTTAAAACATTAAATAGCTTTTTGTGTCATCACTGATTAATCTTCTCTTATCTTGTTAGGTGGGATCTCCCTAAAATAACCAAACAGGAAGTTAAGTGCTACCACGCCTGTCCTGTAGTTGAGCTGGAGCCAGGCGTCTACCACCAGCTACCTTACAGGCATCAGCAAACACAGTCGACTTTTACCTCAGCAGAGGGGGTATAACAGGACAGATAAATAGTTTCTATTTGGATACACACAGTTTATCGTCACTGTTCTGAGACGATCAGCGCAGTCGATCACGTGCTCTGCGTTTCTGTTTGATGTGGTAACTGAGAAAAGGAGAAACTAACAGCACACTTCAACATTTTAGTGTTTCTAGTCAAACACATGACTGTAATAACTTTTTTATAACAACCTTTGGATAGAAAATGAAGGCAATACTTAACCGGTATCGAAAGCTTTTGGGTTACACTGAGTTGTGAATGCTGCAATGTTCTTGACAGGCAGCCAACACTGATTGAAAATGTGAAAGAAAGCAAAACAGATTCTAAAGTGTCTTTGTATATAAGGCGTAAACAACTTCACCTCCAAGGGACACTGAATCAACGTCATATTCTTGGATCTAAACCGGGGGAAAACTGTCTGTGGGACCAGAGTACAGCAACATTTAAACTTGATCTGAACACTGAAAGTTTTCTTTTGAAACTTAAATAAAAAGGAAGTGATTTTTTTTCGATTTGCATCATACTTAGCCAATCATGTTAAACCCCTCTGATCCTGAAAGGTAGCTCATGACAAATAGCTCCAAACTCCACATCACACACACAAAAAATACATTCTGACTCCTCCAAAGTCCAGTTCAGGCAAAAAGATCCTCTCCTTGATCCATAAACACTGCTCTGCTGCCAGCCTGCTACATAAACACTTGTGTACTGTAAAATCACGTGGACAAAATGGAAGCTATTATCTGTACAATAAAAGCTAGTTTGTGGTCGGTTTTCACAGAGAAATTCCACATGTGGAGATGGACGTATTCTTGTCAGGAAGCGTGTGAAGTGTGATGAAGGTGTACACCATGCTGAGGGTTTGGGCAGTGAGCCGTCTCCGTCCTCGCCTCGTGCAGTTTGACATACCTCAGGCCGAACCGATCACTTTCCCCAGACAAAACGGAATCGCCTGGCTAAATGACTATTCTAACCAACAGCCATGCGCGATAGTAATGACTTCCCAAGCTTGACAGGCAACCGTGTGTTACAGCCACATTAGATATCTTTACAGTTTCACCTCCTTCACGTAATTCCCCGGGAAAGTCCCAAACTGTTTTGTCCTCTTCGAGGTACCTGTAGAGACAGAGAAGGAGAAACTCTGATCAGGAAAAAGGAAGTGAATGATTCACAATAAGACATTTGAGCTATATTTGAGAACGTCCATGGCACTCAATCATTCTCCGTCATTCTTTATGAACCCTATATGGAAGGATGTGACACAGTGAAGATGGCTCTACTTCTCCAGGAGGCCTGAGCATGCACATTGCAAGCCTGCAGTCCTTTGCTGTCACACTGCTGAAACCCTATATGGATTAATGTGACACAGTGAGTGTGACTGCATGTCTGAAGAATCTATCCGGAGGCACATACCGACAAACCAGCCGTCATCGCACTTCTCCATGACGCTGACGAGATCTCCCTCCTGCAGCTCCAGCTCGTCGTCGTTCTGCGGCACGTAACTGTACAAAGCCTGGAAACTGGAGCGGGGGTACAAAGATAAACTGGTAAACCCGCAAAAGCTGAGAGGACTCAAAATATGAAACTAGGAAAATTTAAAGCGTAGGTGTCAAACTTAAAACACAGATCCTACTCACATTCCACAGTTAAGACGACTTGGCTCCGGACTGCTGCTGTGGGACTGGGGTTGCTGGGAAATGATGAAAGATTGTTTACTGGGGTGGGGGTGCAGTCTATGGACAGAGTCATGAGGGTGGTGGGACAGGGTGCTGCAGTACCTCACCGAGGTCTCAGCTATATTCAAGATCTCATTACACACTGCTTCCTAGTAGTGGTAGTGGGTGAAGTCGTCAAGAGAAAAGACAGACAGCGGGCCCACACCGAGTGTCCCGGAAGAGGCCGAGGTGAAGTTGAGGGGAGGAGGTGAGGAGTTAGAGAAGGCGGGGGTGGGGGGGTTTGGGGGGGGGGAGACGAACGGCGAGACAGGAAGGTAGGTCCAGTAAGTAGAAAGGAAGAAAAGGAAGTGATCCGGAAAAAGCCAGGAGAAAAAGCGGAGGAGATGTTGGTGGAGCCCGGGAGGAGACGCATGAAGAGGCAAGACACCAGAGTGAGAGCATGTAGACAGGAAACATGAAATATTAGTTCACTTTGTAGAAGATAATATTCAGTATGAACATGCAGTATTAAAGGGAAGCTGACAGGTACAGCTGAAAGGAATATTTGGACATTTTGGGTGATATTCTTTTTCTATTTCTTGCTGAGAGTTAAATGAGAAAATTCATTCCACTCTCATACCTGTCAGTTTAATGTGAAGCTGAAGCCAGCAGCTGGTTAGCTTAGCTTAGCATAAATACTGAAAACAGGGGGAAAACAGTGTAATGGCAGTGTAGAGGTGATGAACACAGCTGCCCATTTAGTGGCCTTCTCATGAGATTTGGTGATTTTCAGACCTCTATAATGATTTTTTATAAATCTAGTGAGCTTTTAGTCAGTCTTTAACTCCTCTCCTTGGAAATGAGTCACCAGTATTTCTCAGTAAACGTGCTCTCATGTGGCTGTGGCTCTCTGCGACCAGCTATCAGCCACACGCAGATGTGAAGGAGTTGTTTGTCTGGGGAAATCCTTTTTTATTTTTTGTTGTAAATGATTTAACTTGACTATTTAAGTTTTATTTTTTTTCCCTTGAAATACACAGAGTTTACAAGAGTGAGTTTATTCCAGTGTGTGCATACTCTCTGTTTCTGACACTTCAGCTCCACTCTTGTAGCTCTTGTATACGTGCACATCGCATAATCTAGCAACATCTAGAAAGGTTTTCAGCAGGTTTTGGCTCCTTCCTTTTGAAAATAGATGGCGACACTGGCGATGACAAGACTCGTACGAAATCGTACGACACACAACCCCCCACATCCTGTTTTTTTTTAATGGATTAATCAAATAAGATAACGTGAATTATTGAGCTTCAGACGTGCTGGTCTATGCTACTAAGCTGGCTGCTGCCTTCAGCTTCATACTCAACAGACAAACATGAGAGTGATATTGATCTTCTCATTTACCTTTTAGCAAGAAAACCAAACTGTGTCTATTTGCACCAAGGTGAAGTCATTGTAATGGTCTGCCAGGCGCCTGTTAAACACCACTACAGCAGAAAGGCTTTAGGAAGTCAGGTGAGACGGTATTCTCTTAGTAGTTTTAGATTATTTTTTTATTATATTCAGTTGTCAGTCAGAGTCTGTTTAGGTTTAGGCGCCAAAACGACTTGGTTAAGTTTAGGAAAAGATCAAGGTTTGGGTTAATAGACCCTTTCACAATGTTAACCATGTGTTAGAAAACCTTTCTGCTGGAACTTCTCACTGCAGTGGCCCAGCAGAGCCTAAAACCTGGGTATAAAAAGCCACATTGGCTATCTGCCCCAGGTGCAAACAGCATTGTTGACTACAGCCACCTGGGTGCTTGTCTCTTCCATGCTATATGCACCTGAGTATAAGTAGCCACATTAGCTATCCACCATGGGTGCAAATAGCATTGTTAGCTACACAAACCTGGGTGCAAATAGCATCTGCTGATTTTATTTCCCCAAAATATCGACCTTATTCCTTCAATAGGAAAGGAAAGTCCTCCAATAACTCACATGTCTAACATGTAAACAGAAGACACAATGGGAGTTAAAGATGATGACAGTCAAATGGATCGTTGGAAGTGATGGGTTGTAAAGTTAAACAGATAATGAAGTCACTTTACAAACTTCACATTATTTTTGTAAATCTCCAGTGGAGACCCGAGGAAACTGTGTACCACCTTACCGCAAATGAGTTTACGTTGTTGTTATCCTGGATGTCAAACAGCATCACAGGGCTTCTGGAGCTCCGTCCATGATGGTCGACCTCATTCCTCAGAAACTGCAACAAAAACATCACATCAGCCTGGACATTTCAAAAGTAAAGCTTTTCTCTGGCGGCTGCACCTCGTATCCACCTGCTGTAAATTCTTGTCATACTTCAGAGACAGTCTTCCTTGTAAGTTTTGAAATAGAAGCCAACATGTGAAACCTATAAATACTCACTAATAAATATGTCACCGTCCTAAACAAACCTCCAACCTCCAATGTCATCCATGTTATGACACCTCTGAACAGAACAACAACAACATGCAACCATATGCCGAGTTTTATGAAGACAAAGTAACACGAGCTCGCATATAAATAAATCCAGGAAATGCAAGCACGATAAGCACGATATCTCCTCTCACAGTCCTTTACAGTTATGGGGAATCTGAAACAGAGCTATATAAAACAGACACACTGTAAATTTGCATGTTAGTAGAGCACACAACAACATGCAGACTTGCAGCCTTGAGCAGTGTGACAAGGTTTAACTTATTCTGCCTTTACTAAACCAGCAGATTCACCCTCCAACGGGCTCAAATCAACTTCAGGTCAAATCTACGAGTTAGTCACGTCTTCACTTCTTCACCAAACTCTGTTTTAGGGAATCAAACTGTGGCTAAAAGCCCATGTTCCAGAGTGAGCCTGAGATGCAACACCACACACCATGCAGAAGATACCTCTGCAGGGCTATTTCGCCTGCTGCCCGGGGCTGCGCGGCCCCTGTCCCCCTCTGTGCCTTCCCCCTCTGTCAAATCCTTCTCCCCCCTCAGCCAGCCCTCCAGCACCGGCCCGCCGCAGGGGCTGACGCTGCGTGAGAGACGTGGGGAGGGAGGGGAGAGCAGGAAGTCCTCTCCCTGAGGTGGGGTGAACGTGAGGAAGGGAGTTGTGGAGTTGGGTCTGGGAGGGTAAGGCGGGGGTAAAGGGGAGGCAGATGGGGAGGCCATGGGGGAGACGCAGTATGGGCTGCCGGTGATGGGAGGCACGGGGCTGGCGGAGTACGGCGGGGGCAGGTACTCGCCGCAGCGGTAGGACACGGTGGGCAGCGGCGGCAGGGGAGGGGTGGGGGCGGCAGGAGGGCTCCCTCCTCCCACAGTCAGGGAGATCCACTCAGAGGAGACAGCGTGGACCTCAGGGGACACGGAGCGGCGGGGGGAGCGAGGGAGGGGTAGAGGGGAGGTGGTCAGGCGGTTACGATAGAGCTTTACAGAGCAACATGATGAAGGAGATGGAGACAGAGGGAAGAAGAAAGGACGAGAGACAGAAAAGGAAAATGAAAGATGAAACAAATTCACGAGAACAAAAATTGAAATTAAAGGTGGGTGTTTTTTCTGGATTCAGTCCCGTCTGGCTCAGAGTCCTCACCTGTGGAGAAGCATTGGTGCTGCGCTGCGGCGACTGGCTGACAGGAGGGTCGGGATAGTCCACCCCGTTCTTGACGCGGGGTCTTCTGTGCACTTCTACGTAGGTGACGGGGAAGATGCCTTGGCGGTTGGTGCCTGCGATTTTGCCTTCGTACCAGTTCTCATCAACTCTACGGATTAGCGTGATCCTCTCCCCCTGCGCATGTTCACAACATCGATAATATATAATGTTCAAAAAAAGCTGGATAGAGGTTCAGGACTGAGGACAAAAGCGTTAAAGTATCAGTATTTAGAAACAGTTAGTTTTGATTCATTCCCACTGCACACCTTTCTGAAGGACATCTCCACCACTGTGTCCCCGTTGAAGTTGAACCGAGCGACAGCCTCTCCATATTCCAGGACCTGTACCGGGGCACTTTTCTTTGGCTGGGCTTTCTCTGTGGGGGGGAGGAGCTGCACAACAAGACAAATAACAAAACTGACTATCCAAGAAAGAAAAAAAAATGATTCAAATTTTGGCTGGGAAAAATATTACTATGCAAAATATCTTTAAAAATGCAGTAGCAGAGGGCAAAGAAACTATTTCTGTCAAAAATATGAATTACTATGTACTAGCTATATATTTTATTTAACAACAACGTCTGCTGCCAGCCGTCCTTCAAGAATCCTTACTGCGAGTACAGAGAGGCAGAGAGAAGCCACACACCTCAACGTAGCTTCGGGGGAAAATACCAACTCGTCCATGATGTTCCCCTTCATACCAGTTCTGATCCACCTGTCGAATGATGTACACGATGTCTCCCTTCTGAAACGGCAACTCTCTGGAAAATGTTCCAAAGAGATTTGAGACTCATAAGAAATGGAATAAACAACAAAGTGTTAAGAGTGTGATTTCATGCAGACTGTCTGTCTGTCACTGACTAACCTATCTGCTGAGAGCACAGATGGTCACACTCTGGTAGCAGTTACGTTGTTAATCTTTTCATTATGATTTTTCTCAAATTTTCTGGGACCGCCTCTTCGTCAGCCGCCACGCCAGTTATCATTAAAGTCATATCTACTCCGCTTGTAAGTAAACACACAGGGTGGAGGCCGGGTGGAGTAATGACATCACTGTCGCACTGGATTACAATACAAATTCTGATCATTTCCACTTACTTTAGAGTTTCAGCTCTGAAGTCAAAGCGAGCCATGGCTGGAGTTCTCTGTGGAGATACAAAAAGGAAACTTGAGTCACTCTTATTGTAATATTACAACTACATAAATATTCTTCTTAGTGTTGTACTGAGTCAGTGAAAGTTTTCCAAAAGACTAAATTCTCTTCCGTCTCTCTTTGGCTGTTATTCCCTCTGTGCTTTGTCATTTATGTATACGAAGGAAAAGATCCTCTGGCGTTTGTTGTGAACTGTAAATCTGCCTGACTTGTCCTTTCCGTGCCCCCTCTGTACAGAAATATTCAAGCAATGACAGGAATGATGTGCTTGTGACTGACTGGGTTACTTGTCCTCTGGAGCATGCCCAGTTAGAAGCTACTGTGGGTTGTTTACAGTCAGACCGGTGTGCCAGGAGAGCAGGCACACCTTGGTAAACACAAGGGTGCAACTAATACAAGTTTAATGACATCTAGATAGAACAGGCTGCACTGTGGAAGTCTGCTCAACCACTCCTTCTATTACTGCTCGGAATTTTTAACCCGGAGGAGAAAGTCATCTGTGTCTGCAAAAATCCTGCTGACAAGCCTTTCACTCCCCACCCCACCTCCCCCACCTC